GTTGGTTGGTTGGTTGATTGATTGATTGATTGATTGATTGATTGATTGATTGATTGATTGATTGATTGATTGATTGATTGATTGATTGATTGACATCAACAGGTTTGTTTCAGTCCCACCAGCCTTCAGCTGGGAGGAGACAAAGACGTGTGACGCAGACTTAGAATATAAACTTGTCATCTTTGCAGATAGCAATTAGCGGTAAGTGTTAGTTTCCACTAATTTGTACCTGTTTACCGGTTTGGCATTAGCTTCCGCTAACATTTTTTACACGTTTAGGATTAATGAAGCTACATACATGTCAACCCCCTTCAGAYGTTTATCTGTATAAGGAGCCTCAAAAATATGTAATTTTCGCAAAAAAATCTGTATTAACCACACGCACGGGGGTGCAGGCGGACTGTCGGTCGCAGAGAACTTCCAGGTGCAGACTTGTTTGGAAAATGAAAGATTTGATGTTATTTATGGTTGTTTTTTTTTAACATCCTACAGGCTCTGACATATAAAATACTTTTGAAAGTGAGTTTTGGAAAAAAAATCTGTAAAACTTGAAAAAAATCCGTGAGATTGCCCTATATGTCCGTACATCTGCAAAATGAGGGAAAATTTGTGTAAATTACAGACAAMGCATACAACTTGGCATGTATGAAGCTATATAGTAAAGTTAATGTTTTGGTTAGCCACCACACGTACTGAGAAGAAAAATCAAGTACCCAGAAGGAATGGTCTAATTTGGTTGTTGTTTGGTATACTGTATGTGCAAATCAGTGATGGACATGGAAATAATTCAATTCTCAAGAAGTGGGTTTTCAAGAATGGACACAAGAAGACATAAGAGATGAAAATCACAGTCACCATAAYACCTGACAGTCAGTCAAAACAGTGAGTAAAAGTCAGCAGTTAAAACATTTATGGAGTTTGATAGGGTTACATTGTGGGTTTGCATGAGACCAGGTAATTATATCTGTAAGGAAAAAYCTTACACTCTTATAACAAGGTTATAAGGAATATATTTTAGCAAGGATCTCTTTGTTTTTGGTAAAACATTCTTCCAGTGCAAAATGAATGGAAACACAATAAGTTACGTGAGTCAGTGAATTTTGATTTGATCCATAAATAAAATGTGATCGTTTATTTTACAAATCAGACAAAATCACTAAAGTACTCTTAATTGTGAGCAATCAATTTCCTATAAAAGTATTAGGACCAACAATAACAAGCGCTTYGAGCATGTTAATTGTCAACCATAGGCACTTAAATAGTACACAAACGTCAAGTTAGATGTTTAAAACCAGACATTTGAGGCAGATAACTTAGGGTTGGCAACGAAGATTTTAAGAAAAGGAGGCAAGTAAGATGTTAGCTTTTCCTACTTTTAACTTAAATAAATGTGGGTTTAACCAGAGAGGCAAGGAATTCTCAACTCGGCGTTGGCCAGACAGCGAAGTTCATAACACAGCCAGCTTTTACCTTTAAAGATGGTCAGTCACCTGTCCAGGTATTTCGGGTTTCTGCTTAGAAAATCTGTTTTAAGACCATCAACACAGAGGGACCCTCAAGGCATGCAGGTCAGACTTGCTTGCGGCCGCGTCAAGCCGTAGAAAGAAGGTGAAACCAAAAACTAGACCCAGACTTCAAAATGAAACTTCTGACAGGAAGGTTCTCCAAGTTGGATATACCTGGCATGTGTTATGTACAGGCTGTGCAGTTTCCCCATTGGCATGAAGGGGCTAAAACCGACACAGCTTCAGCTCTTGATTCCCCAGGGAGAATCTAGCTGAAAGAGACTGTCGTCTTCACAGACGAGCGGTCCATCACTTTCTACCGTCTGGGCGGAAACTGTTTGTTACTAAAAAGCTTAGATGTCCTAAGTTCCGCCCTCCGGAGGTTAGATTAGAAAAGAAGTGATATCAAGGAAAATGTTAGTTCAGAGACTTGCCATCGCCTCCTGAAGCTAAACAAAGATTACTACTTCTGTGTAGTTCAGAAAAAAAACATTGCAATATTTTGAGCAAAATTGTGCTCACCCTGCTAATTGAACCTTCACACTCTGCTCTTACTGGTGCAATGTGCAATTAATGAAGATTGGCCACCAGACTTGTCCAATTTAGCCATGAAACCTCCCACACTAACATGACAGGTGTTTCAGTTTCATTGTCTAACCCCTGGATGACTCCATGGGCACTGTTTCAGTGACAATTTGTGTCTGCATGTTCTACTCCTCCTAAAATACCATCCATGACAGTCTTTTAACAAACAATACCTGTCCACACACACTTCACCTGACCTTTCTTCAGTTTTTCTTCAATATGTTGAATCGTTCTGATGCATCTCAGTAATCCAGGTAAAAAAAATCAAAAGAAAAAAATTGTATAGGTCTTCTGGACGGGTTCTTCTCTAATGAAACGTTTCGTCTCTTCTCCAAGAGACTTCTTCAGTCAAACAGACCGAAGAAGTCTCTTGGAGGAGAGACGAAACGTTTCATTAGAGAAGAACCCGTCCAGAAGACCTATACAATTTTTTTCTTTTTGTTTTTCTTTACTAACATGTTTTACATGTGATGACCACATGTGGTTAATGCTGTGTGACTTTGAACAGAGCTGTAGAA